CTGGGATTATGAAGCGCTCAGGGACAGGTGTGCTTCACCTTGGCCTGTTGAGCGGTCTGGGATGCAAAGGGGCGCTCTTCCTTCTATGAGAACTGAGTTTTGACATACGGGGTGCGTATGCCTGTGTCTACTTGGAATTCTTCATCTTAATGAGTCATGAAGTGTATTTCCACATTTCAATGAAATGAACATTTTTGTTTGTAGTTTTTCTCGGCCCTGTTCTTTTCTTTTTTGGGGGGGGAGGTTTTCACTATAGGGCGTGTGCGCTCGCCAGACAGACAGAGAGAGACAGAGAAACAGAAAGCGAGAAATCACCCCCCAGGGGGGATGGCCACGCCACAATCCCTCCTCCTCCGTTCTCCTCTCGGAATCCTGGGCACGCACGCACACACGCCCGGTGTGAGTTTTAAGCCACCGGGTCTGGGGCGAGAAACGCAGCGATATAGCCATTACGCTATCTGCTGGTCCCTCGGCCTTGTTCTTAAAAAATATTATTAATTTAGTTATTGTTATTATTTTTAAAATTTGCTATAGGGCATGTGTGCTCACCAGAAAGAGACAGAGAGAGAGAGAGAGAGATTGAGAGAGAGAGAAAGCAAGTTGCCAGGTCTGGGACTCGAACCAAGATCAGCTATGTTGGAGTCCAGTGCCTTAACTACCTACCGCACTACCCTCTGGCCCCTGTCCCTAGTTTTTAAAACATTTTTCTTTGCAAATAAGTTCAAATTTACCGAAAAAGTTAACACATAAAGAAATAATATAACGAGTACCCGCATAGCCTTTATTGGCCTGTGAATAGTTTTTTATACCCATTTGCTTGCTCATTTGTGTGCTCCTGTTCCTCATGCTGTGTTTGGGCCATGTTGCCTTGTGCTTGGGTATGGGTATCCATTCTGCATCGGAATGGGGGCACAGAGCATGCTTCTGGAGGCCCACCATGTCCATTCCTCTGTCACCAGCGATGTTAAATTCCCCTGACCTTTTATCTGATGTGTGAGGACAAGACCAAGTGTGGGAAGAGGAAGAAAATGGAAAAAACACGAAGGCATGACTCAGCATTAGTTAAACCCCTGAATCATCTGTGCTGCTGATTTAACCCTCCAGTAAGGGGGAAAAAAAAAGGCTTTTAATTTTGTTTAAGGATGGTGGGAAGTTACTGGGGCATTTTAAGCAGAATGAGGCAATACATTTTCCTTTTTTGTTGTTGAGATTTTTGCCATAGGGTGTGTGTACTCACCAGAGAGACAGTGAGAGGGAAAGTGAGAAAGCACTCCCCAGGGGGGATGGCCACACCGCACCCCCCCCCCATTCTCCTCCTGGGATTTTAGGCATGCACACACATGCAACCAGTGGGATTGTCAAGCCACCAGGTCCAGGATTCAAACTGTGGCTGGCCATATAGGAGTCTAGCATCTTACCCACCATGCCATGCTGGCCCTGCACTTTACACAGCACTGATACTGCTCCCTGGACCACTGGTAGGGATGTGGACAAAGGGGATGCAGAAGGTTGCGACAACCACCCTGATTTGCCCAAGACTGGGTGGCACTTCTAGCGACAAAACCAGGCATCTGGATGGAGTGACTAGTTGGAAGCAGAGACTCAGTATTTGACCAAGAGATATGAGTAGCTCAAACTAGGGAGACAGTAGCACGGTGAAAATAAGTGATCGGATTTGAGATATCTCAGGGGACTTCAAAACGTTCCCGGAAAAATGGAATTAAAGTGTACTTTAGGCAGCCAGTGACATGGCGGTTAGGGCAGTGCCATCCTCATTTTCGCTGCCTTTTTTTTAAAGGGCGATTTCAGCCATAGGGATGCTAAGGGATGTTCCTGTTTTCTGCAGAGAGGAAGCAGGAGGTGAGGACTTACAAAGTCACAGAGGAAGTCCATGGTGAGGCGGGCTCCCAGGGTTCCAAGGTTCAGGTAGAACGAGCTGCTCTGTCTAGACTGCGTGCAGGAGCTTTGTCTAGACTGCGTGCAGAAGCTAAGCTCCGGGCCTTGGGGAGGGAGCTTGCAGCAAGGAACTAATAAAATAGCAGCAGCTGCCATTCCCGAAAGCCAGCGGGTGCCTCCGCTGAGCCCTCTGCACCACCATCTAAGGCCTTCCTGAGGAAAGGTGCGGCCGTGTAGAAATGCATAGAAACGAGGACTGGGAGGCTGCAGTGGTCACCCCGCCCACTCCCAGCGGCCGGGCAGAGGTCAACCACAGTGCTCGCTCTGCTCCCCAAAGAGGCAACACCGGGCAGTCTCCACTAGAAGTCCTTTCCATACTTCGGTTTTTAGAGCGGTTAGCATCTTTTGAGAAAGGACCGTTTAGATCTCATCGCTGTGTTTAGTGCACCAAAACAGGCCAACGAAACCCCCCAAACTCGCGTCTTGCCTGAGTACCCGACCTCTTAGCTACAAGAAGACAAATCAAACCTCTTAGTAACGAATTAGTGGGGCCGGGACAGGGTGCACAGGCCGATCCGCTGGGACCCCAGCTGCCCTGGCAGGAGGAGGGGGAAGATTCCTGTAGAGAGGATAGCGAGGACAGAGGACACAGAGAGGGCAGGGGAGAGTGAGAGGAGCTGCAGGGATGGGGGTTGCGACTCCATGCGTGCTGTGCAGAGGCCCCAGCGCAGTAGCCTGTTACGGTCTCTGGGACCTGGTGCTACCATCGCCACCATTTTGTTGCCTGGCAGAAGTGTGAGCTGCCGGCTGTTTGCAAAACTCCTGCCCAGCGCGGGCCCGGCACCCGGAGCTTTGCGTC